TTTGATATTTGATATCTACTTTAATTGTCGATTATCAAAACTTTTTAATTTTGAAAATACTAAAATATAGAATATCAAACTTTAGATCTCGTGTTTGTCTTTTGATTGTTATAATAATTGTCATGTTAGATGTTTACTTACTCCGTGTGAATAATAATAATAATAGGTCGTACTATAATCCTAAATTCAAGTTTTCTAAGCATTTCATAGCTAATTGATCTAACTAAATTCATTAAGAGCCTAAATTTGAGAATTTTGATTATTTATTTACTTTTCAGCTTGTGGGGTGAATAGTTAACCATATTTATAACATTAACAGTGATTTTGATGTCTTGATCGACTTGTGACAGCAAAATTTAATAATTAGGGCTTGAAAGTGAAAGTCTAGTCTCTATATATGCTCTCTCTAAAAGCATACATATCAAATATTGGACAAATGAACACATATCTTATCAAAATACATTTTCCTTCTATACTTAATTAGTGTATTGAAGTATGATTTATTGTATAGGCAAACTTTAAAAAATTGATATTTGATATCTATTTTCAATTATTGATTATCGTATTATTGAAATTGAACTTTAGAAATATCAAATTGAACACTGAATGCTCACCCCTAATATGGTTAGTCTACCCTAACACAAACATCAATAACTTCATAACTTGATCACATAAATTATAGGTCGTTAACAACTTACCGTTGCTCCCAGTTTTTCCTTCGTATGCATCGAGACAGCTTAAAGGTTCCTCTTCGTATTTTTTACTATATCACTTTTTAATTATAACTCGATTTCTTCAAATCAGTTATTTCATTTTATCATGATTCCTATATTAGAAAATAATTATTTTTATATCTCATTATTTTCATCAAAAGTATCTTAGAACAAGTGCTTCGAAGTTTGAAACTCATAGCATAATAAGTTCGTTGATCTACGACTCTACTTTTCCATTTATATACCATGCATATATATATGACAAAGTTTAAAATTATGACTTGCGTTTAAACCACATTTCATGCACCATCCTTTTATTACTGGATTGGAATTTTTTTTGTTTTATAACTTTTATAATTGTATGTATTTTAAAAAACTTACAAGTTTTAGTATGAATTACCCTTATTTTGGGGTGGTTTTTAATTTTGCCACGCAAATTGACGGTTTTTAATTTTGTCTCTATTGCTCATTTAATGAAAATTTATTGTTTTAGGTATCTTTAATTAACTATGCCCTAATTTCACTAGATAAAAAGGCAATTTTATCATGTGGTATAAATTCAATGCTATCTAATTTGCAAGGCAAAATTTTACCCTCAATATTAAGAAATTTAAAATTGCTATACATGTTACGCCCTATAAGGCACAAGTTCATGCTAGCAAATTGGTGTCCCAAGACACAAGTTCGTACTACTAAACTTATGTTCAATAATTATTTTTATATCTCATTATTTTCATCAAAATTATCTCTGAACAAGTGGTTCAAGGTTTGAAATTCGTAGCATAATAAGTTCGTTGATCTACGACGTTACTTTTTCACTTATATATCATGCATATATGTATGACAAAGTTCAAAATTATGACTTGCGTTTACTACATATCACGCACCACGCTTTTATTATTGAACTGAAGTTTTTTTTGTCTTATTATTGTATGTATTTTTAAAAACTTACAAGTTTTGGTATGGATTACCCTTATTTTGGATGGTCTTTAATTTTTGTCTCGCAAATTGACGATTTTTAATTTTGTCTCTACTGCTCATTTAATGAAAATTTGTCGTTTTAAATATTTTTAACTATGACCTAATTTCACTAGGCAAACCTTTTTAGACAATTTTTTCATGTGGTATTAATTCAGTGTTGTCTAATTCGCAAGACAAAATTTTACACTCAATATTAAGAAATTTAAATGTACATGGTATGCCCTATATGGCACAAGTTCATACAAACGATTTATATCCCAAGGCACAAGTTCATAATACTAAACTTACATCTCAAGGCATAAGTTTAAGTATAAATTATAGGAACCACATATTATAAGTACTAAATAGCATCATATCCCTTCTAGTTTTCTATTTACCAAAAATCCCTTAAAAATGATGTTTGCGGGATACATAGCGTTGTGCACGGGATACATTAGGTTTGATACATTCTACATAGCGGGATACATAGCGTTGTGCACGGGCTATATGCGGGATACATAGCATTGTGCACGGGATACATAGCGTTTGATACATTTCACATAGCGGGATACATAGCGTTGTGCACGGGATACATGCGGGATACATAGGTAAAATAAGGGATTTTTGAAATTTTTGAAATAAGTGGGGATAAATAGATATTAAGGTAAGTAAAGGAGTGTAGTTAAGTAATTTATCCTAAGTTTAATATATGACCTTCTTAAGGCTTGATTGTTCTAAAATTGAATTTATGTCCCAAAATACAAGTTAAGCCTTACAATGTATAAGTTCCGTAGAACTTTATGCCTTTAAAAGTTCATGCATAAGCCCAAAAATACAAATTATGCCTAAAAAATAAATATTTTTAATGCATAAGTTCATTGTATGAATATCTTCGAGGTATAAATTATAATGTTCTAAAATTGAACATATATTTTATATGGTATAACCTATGCATAGCTAAAAAAATTAACAGGAATTATTATTTTTGGCCTAGTGAATATTTGTTGGTCTTGCGTATATTAAAGATATTTTTATTACTTAAAATATAAAAATAAATATTTTTAAAAAAATAAAAATTTAAAACGAACACAAATAGGGGCATTCATAGAAATGACCAGGGACTTTTAATATAGTCCAACATGAGGATAAAGGTAAAAATAGAAGTAGTTACATTTTAAATGCCAAAAGACTATAGTCTATAAATGGTCAAAGAATCAAAAGATAGAAATTTAGATATATGTTATAGGTCATGATAATGTTTCACACCCACACGTATGTGTGTATATATATATATAGGAAGTATGTTTTTTTTCTTCCTAATTTTGCACTGCTATTTAAATTTATTTATATTAGATTGTCCAATTCATGTGTTGTCAAATTAACATGTTGTACAGTGAGGTAAAATAGATTCAATTTAGATTTGTTTGAGAGCATTCAAGCTTTTTTTTTTATATATATATATATATATATATATATATATATATATATATATATATATATATATATATAAAAGTGGGAAGAATGTTAGGCAAAAGTTGGATTACCATTTTACCCCTACATTAAATTAAAATGTTATAAACTATTTAATAAATTAAATACTAATTAACAAATTAAATACTAAATAGTAAATCATCATGAATAATTTATTAATACCTTTAATAATTAACTTCTAAAATCAAATCAATAATAACAATTAAGCTAGACCAAATGCATGATTAGATGTTACAACTAATTATTTTTCACTTTTCTTTCCACTTTATAATGAGTTTAAATTAGTAACTCTTTTAGATTTAAAGCCTCTTAAAATTTGTATATCTGTATAAATCTTCATATTGAGAAGGTAACCAGCTCTCATCAACCCACGCAATTTTTTTTGGAATTTTCTTATATTTTTCCTATTTAATTTAATATTAAATGCCTAAAAACGTTAATAAAAAGACTATTGTTAAGTATAAGCCGAAAAGACTCACAATTTTTATCAATTTCAAGAAGAAAGTCCAAAAGTCTCTTGTCCCACAATTAATAAGACCTGTTGGCTTCAACCAATGCGTTTGTCACTTTTTGGGGCCTTTTGTGGTGGTAACATATATGGTTGAAAGGTAAATTTTTTATTTTTGTTTAGATTTATTTAATATCTCAAATGATCACAAGTTCTGTTCAACAAGAAAAAATTACAACATTGCAGAAGTTAAGCTTTTTTGGATTTTATTTTGGATGGAGAATAGTCAGATTTGTGGTTGTTGTCAATAGTTTATTTTTTCCTTTTAGGGTGAAGCTGTCATAAATATTATCCAGATTTGTGGGTGTTGTCAATAATTTTTTTTTTTTTTCATTTGGGATGAAGCTGTCAATAATCTCTCATAAATATGTAGTGCACCATTACTATCCAGATTTGTACCGATAAAATGGCTAATTGATTCGAATAAACATAAAACTTTTTCAATTTAAAAAGAAAACATTTTATTGTCGAAAGAACAGACAATATCTTTAACTTGTGATGGATTAAATTATGCATATTTCAACATACCTTTCTGGGGTGAATAAGGCAGAAGTTCTTAATTTAAAGCCAATGCCTTCAAAATAGCCGTCTGTAAAATGGTTGGGTTTATTCATTCATGGGTCGGATCGTTTAAGTTGTATAAAAAATTCAAGTGAACCAATACTTTAAAGCCATGTGTTTGATTCAAAAACTCATTTATGCCATGTCATAATTCTGTTAAAGAAGGGTACTTTTAATCCTAAAAATAACTTTGAGGACATTTTTGATCCGATAGGTGAAAGGAGGGCATTTTTGAGCAATTTTCAATACATTGAGGGCATTTTAACCCTTTTCCCTATAATAATTAATGAAGATTTGTCAATCTTTAAAGATTTGTCTATCTTGTCATATAGACTATAAATGAAAATATAATAATTAATGAATATTTTGTCAATCTTTTAAGATTTTCTCATGTATATATGAATTTCCTCACTCTCTTCTAAAAATCAATCACTTGAGAAAGAAAAAAAAAGTTGTTTCCTAATAGAAGGAAGTATGAGTTTTGCTAAGATGGTTATGGTGATTTTTGTGTATATGGTTATTTTAGCTATAATAGAAGGTGCTCATGGTGTGCCATTTTGCTGTGGATGGAATCCTGAGTGTTGTCAAGCATCTCTTCAAAAAGAATTACCAAGGCAAATGAAATTTATTCCATCAAACACATAGATCTATCTTCTTGTTCTTACTAGAATGAACTATATGAACATGGATCCTTTTGTTCTATTATAGAACAAAAATGAAATAAATATAGTTCTTATTACTATTTTTTTTTGTCTTATATTAAAAAAAAAAAAAGATTCATAATAGTATTTTCTCCTTTTTAAGCAATGCTAGTGTTGATGTGAGTCTCATGTTTGATATTACCTTTATCAAATGGCTATTGTTATGTTCCCTCAATGTTGCTATACTCGAACCTGGAGGATAAGGTTCTTATTTAGAATGAGGGTATTGTTGTGAACCAAGTCGATTTTGTATGGGCCTATATGATAGAAGTGGTGAATGGGGCAGATTAAGTTGAGATTGTTAGACCGAGTAAAATATTAGAGAGTTTTGTTTGGAATTCAGGTCTAGCTAAATATTGGCTAAATAGGACTAGGGGTTAGAGAGAAGAGTTATGTGTATTGTGAAGAAAATGTTCCTCTTTACTGCCTTTTATGATGCAGATTGGGCTTCTTGTTTACTCAGTAGGAAATCTGTGACATGATACATGGTCAAGATTGGTCAATCACTAGTATCATGGAAGGCAAAGAAGCAATCAACAGTGTCAAGAAGTTCAACTGAAGCTGAGTACAGAAGTCTTGCTTCCACTATGTCAGAGTTGGTGTGGTTGCTTGGGATGTTGAAAGAAGTAGATGCTGAGATTCAGTTATCAGTGCAAATATGTAGTAATGCGAAGTTGCTATTCAAATTGCTGCAAATCCAGTATATCATGAAAGGACAAAACACATTGAGATTGACTGTGATTTCATAAGAGAAAAACTGCAACAAGGACTAATTAAGGTTGAATATCTATCTACTAAAGAACAGCCAACTGATGCATTGACAAAGGGATTGTCTAGGTTGCAACATGAACACCTTTTATCCAAGCTAGGAGTTCTAAACATTTTTGCACCACCTAGCTTGAAGGGGAGTGTTGTGCTATAGAGAAGCTGGTAAAGTTAGTTAGAAGAGTGAAAGGATAGAAAGGGCAAATTAGTCTTTTAAAGATTGATTAGTTATAACAACTTGTCCTATTGTTAGGTAGGAAAGTTAATTAATTTATGAGTTGGTTAGTGTGGAAAGGAGCTTATATATAGCTCATTCATATTGTATGCAACTAAAACTTGTTCTTTCTTTAACTTCTTCTTTAGCTCATAAGTTGAGATTTTCTCATTTACAAACAGACATATACGGACATATATATAAATGCCTACATTCTCTTCTAAAAATCAATCACTTGAGAAAGAAAAAAAAAGTTGTTTTCTAATAGAAGGAAGTATGAGTTTAACTAAGATGGTTATGGTGATTTTTGTGCTTATGGTTATTTTAGCTATGCTGGAAGGTGCTCATAGTGTGCCAGTTTGCTGTATGTGGAATCCTGAATGCTGTCAAGCTTCTCTTCAAAAAGAATTACCAAGGCAAATGAAATTTATTCCATCAAACACATAGATCTATCTTCTTGCTCTTGTTAAAACTATATGAACATGGATCCTTTTGTTCTATTATAGAACAAAAATGAAATAAATAAAATTCTTATTACTAATTGTTTTGTCTTATATTTAAAAATAGATTCATGATAGTATTTTCTCCTTTTTAAGCCGTGCTGGTGTTGATGTGAATCTCATGCTTGATATTGCCTTCATCATGTATCCATGTGGCTATTGTTTTGCTCCATTAATGTTGCTCTAGCTACTCAAACCTGTAGGACAAAGTTCTTATTCGGGACGAGGGTATTGTTGTGAACGAAGTAGACTTTGTGTTGGCCTATGTGGTAGAAGTGGTGAATGGGACTGATTTAATTGAGATTGTTGGATCGATTAAAATATTGAAGAGTTTTGTTTGAGATTCAGGTCCAATTATTGATTAGTTAAATAGGACTAGGGGTTAGATAGAAGAGTTATTGTGAAGAAAATTTTCCTCTCCGTCTTCTTTCTAATCTCTACTTCTTATCCTCATTCTTATCTCTGTCCTTAGTTACTTGTTATTTTAGTATTGTTTATTGTAATTCCAGAGATTAAGTGTTGTCCGTATGTGGGTAAACCCCCACTGTGTAATAGCCTGCACAGGGGATGTAAACCGCATTAGGCAAGTTCGATGTGACGAGCTTGACTCAGAAGATATTGAGGGGAGATCGATATATCCCGAATCATTCGTGTAGATAACCACCCTCCAAACCAATTGAGACATCTCCAGAATTAATGTTTGAGTATTGGTGTTGAGAATTCAGATTTATAAAATGAGAATTTAAAAGTGAATCAAGACATATAGACTACAAAAGGAAATATATAATATATAATAATTAATAAAAAAATTGTCGAATCTTTTGAGATTTTCTTGATAGATACAGGTGCATATCTATATTATAGAAAGGCTTAAGTCATCGATAGCCACTTAAAGTTGTCCGCAAACTTCACTTAGACACATCATCTTAGGCTTGTTCCAATTGAACACCTCGACTAATTAAAAAATTTACCTATCGAACACTTTATAGACAATCAGCTTAAGTCATCGATAGCCAATGATGTGGCATAGTAACTAATCAAAAGAAGACACATGGTATTGGGCCTAAAATAACTAATAAAAAATAAATTATAAGGAAAAATTATACGTAGTATTTTTTAGAAAGAAAAGAAAAAAGAAAACCATCCTTACCCTTTTTCTCTTTCGCCTGAACCTTCCCCAAAACACCATACGCGGCCATTCTTTAATCGTACTCTTATCTTCAAACATCAATTTAGATTTATTGATATTCTTTCTTCTTCTTGAGTTGTGAGTTTTTTAGAATTTGAATACATTAATAATGTCAAAGAATAATTTCAAATTCATATTATTCTTGCCGGAAAAAATGGAGTTTCGCCGGAAATAATGAACACTAAAGTAAGAAGACGATCGATCACTGATTGCTTGTTATTTTTTTTTGTGTCTTTATGTAATGACATTTGCTTAACAAACCATGTCAATGAAATGGAATCTCCACTTCATCTTTTTTTTTTGTATTTCTTTTGTTTTAAGATTTATATTTAATTTATGTTTGTGTTTAATTTGACAAAAGAGATGAACAAGAGGTAAATATTTTTGGTGGCAGCAGAGATAACATTTTTTCCGACGAAAAATTTAAGGTGGCCGATTTGAATGTGTGGTTGGCTGTTTGAAAGGCTAAGGTCGTTTGACGATGGTAGACTTGTGGATGGTTACAACCAATTTGGTAAGCTGGTGTATTGGAGAAAGAGAATGGCTGGAAATCGAAAAGGAAGGAGAAAGAATTGTGAGTGGTGATGGCTGCAACTTGCAATGGAAAAATGGTGAGGGCAGCTTTCTCAAAGAAGAAGATATAAAATCTTTTCATTTTTTTGCTAAAAAATTATGCTTTCACGCTCCTCTCTCTGTGTGTAGTATAAATACTTTGCCATGTCAGCAAAAAGGGTTTAATAGGTAAAACTTCTTGTTGTCTAGGTGTTCAATAGGTACAGGTCTTAGTTGAAGTGTTCAAGTGAAATATGCGGACAACTTTAAGTGGCTATCGATGACTTAAGCCTTATATAAATATTCACTTTGTGTTCTTATTTCATTCCATTGAGAAGGAAAAAATGTTTCTAATGGAAGGAAGAATGTTATGGTGATTTTTGTGCTATTATTATGCTGGAAAGGTGTTCATGCTGCTGCGCCATTTTGTGGTCGGAGAGACCCTGATTGCTGTTAAAAATGAATAAACACTAGGGTGGTACGATAAATACTCTTCATTTTTAATAAGAGGTCTCAAGTTTTAAATCGTGTCTGTTAGGAAACATTTTACCCCCAATATGAAGGGGCGGACCCACCTTACGACAAGTAGTGTCATCCAACACTACTTCGTCGGAAATTTTAATCAATATACACACATTTCAGAAAAACAAAAAACAAAAATCATGTATGTATATTATACGATGACAAGACTAAACACAAATTTGCTGATGGTTAGCTAATTAAGTGATTCATTAATGTTGCAGCCACCTTGGGTTCGGACCTAGTTGGCAGCGTTTTGTGTTTTTTTTAAAGGGATAATGGTCTGAAAAATATCCTAACTTTGGCCGAATTTACTATTACGATACCAAACTTTAATGAGACCTATTACCTCAGACTATTTAATATCGTATTTTAAACATATATATTTGCCAAATAATCTTTTTTAGGCCAATCATTAAATGTCACGTATCAATACATTGATTAAATTATATCTATTTCTTTTTCTCTAATTCTAATTCATTTTAAACCCTTTCTCTTTCACTAGAATACAAATTCGGAAGACCACCATTCAAGGGCCAGGTGAGCGATTCCGGCATCTGGTTCGCTGATGGGTGAAGCCATTGAACTCGGAGCTCGCCGCTTCGGGGTGGTCAAGGTTGAGACAAAACACCTATAAAGCAAGACAAAATCGTAAATGGGAGAGGGGAAAGGGGACTGGTTCGCCGCTGGCTAGTTGTGGTGGTTTGAAACCGGTCGAGCTCCAGTTCATCGGAGCTACAAGCTCCTCGCCGGAGTAGCGACGGAAGCTGTTGTTGGCAGCTTGTTTGGTGTCTGGCGGAGGCCGGTTATTGGTGGTGATGGTGGCTATTTCATGATCTGTTAGCAGTATTGGAGGAGGTCGTTTGGTCGCTGTTTTTAGGCGAGTTTGGTAGTTGTTTTCAGGCGAGTTTGGTGGTTGTTTCCGGAGGGGTTTTGGATCGGGTTTGGCTGAAGCTTTTGGTTGTGTTGATGGTCGATTTTGTTGGCTGTTTCAGCTACTGTTTGATGGCTATTTCAGCTGCTATTTGGACGCAGCAAAAAGGGAAGAGGAGGAAGAATGGCTTGGGCACGAAATATGTTTATTAAAGGGAACAAAATGATTAATTTAATAAATTTAATGTATTAAAACGCGCGTGTGACACACTCAATTAACATAGACCGAATATAGATAAATATATCTGTTTAAAATACGATATTAAATAGTTTAGAGGGTAATAGATTCTCATGAAAAATTGGTATCGTAACAACAAATTCGGCCAAAGACAAGATATTTTTCAGATCCTTATTTTTTTTTAAAAAAATTGTAAGCTACTAGTAATTGTTAAAAAGAAATAGCTTTTGTCTAAAAGCAATATTTTAAAAAATATTTTTGAGAAAAATATATTATTTGTTTGGCTAGACACTAATTACTTCTCAAACGTGTTTTCTAAATTTATTGGTCAAAAACAATTTCTCGCCATAATTTTTTTGAAAAGCATTATTGAAAAAAAAAAATCAAAATAAGTTTGATTTTTTTGGCCAAATGAGCACGCTAAACCTAATACCCTTACGTTCGAAAAGTAGTTATTCTTCCCTCTAATTTGTTCATCTGTTCTCCTCCTTCAATGATGACACCACTTAAAAAAAAATCATGCTTACGCAACTTTCTAGCGCGAACCGAAATTTAATTGTGCCCCAATCCCGATACCAGCACGGGGTAAAAACCAAAAAACTAGATCAACCATGAACTGCTTCTAACACACAAAACAGCATACTGTATACATAAATTCTAATTGATCCCTTAAAAACTTTTTAAAGACCTTTCAATGAATCCAATAGAAACTAGAAACAAACTGAGGCGGAATCAAGCAGCCAGAAATAATTGATTTTTTTGTGAGCAGAATTCGTAAAATAGTTTTTCTTTTCTCCAATAAACAAATGACAACAGTATTACATGACTAAAGAGAAACGTTGTACTAGCTTTTAGAGCATGTGAGGCCTCCGACATCGATCTTCCTTGCAAAAACAAATTCATTCACATCACATGATAGGCTTGTCGATAAGATATAAAATTCTTATTCCAAAAATTAAATTCTACCTCAACTGATACTTGGAAGAGGCGTTTACAACATTGAATCAGATAATCAGAATTTACAAAGTCAACAACAACCTACTCAGTATAATCCCACAAATAAGGTCTTGGAAGGGTAGGGATTAGGGATGTACACAGATCTTACCCCTACCATTATGGGGATAGAGAGACTCTTTCTGATTGACGTAGAATTTACAAAGTCAAACCACCCAAAAACAGATGAAAGCCAGAGTTTCATTTCTAAAATGCAGGGCCCCTCTCGCTTCGACCTAAAGTTTACGGTTCCTTCTTGTAATTACTGAGTAGCTCTCTGATGTATTTGCCACATTGGTTGGTTACGAATACAGTACAAGATAAGGGTAATATCCTATTTGGAGGAATAAACCAATTCATTTTTGAAAAATCAGCCAAAATACATGATTTTTACGAAATTGTTTTCTAATCACCTCCCCCTGTTCTACCTCTCCTAATTCCTCCTTATAGCCAAATAAGTACCTAATGAACCTCGACAGAAGACCCTTTCACCCGCCTCCCTTGGGTCCATCAAGAAGGCAAATATTGTATGATAACTAAAGTATCAACATAACTGAGCCACACCCTCTTTGGCGTTCATCTTACATGATCTAATATAGAGTCATCTCAGCCAGAAGCTAGCAATACAAAGATACTATTTAATCACTTGATCAGCACGCAACCTGCCTTATGACTGTGAACAACTGGATACAGTAAGAACAAACCTAATAAGGGTGAAGATATGGAAAATCACAACCCATATTACAAAAAGACTACCTCACACAGGAAATTAGTTTGATTAATTACTAGGTCTGATATAAGACGATTTCCTGTCAACTAAGAACCTGGCCAACGTTACTGGGCAGCAAGTGCCCAAGTATAGCTGGAAATTATGATCTAAAGATCTAAATTAACTTGATGTCAAAAGAAAGAACAGCCAATACCTAAGGACACCACATCAAGGGATAAAAAAAAATGGAGTAAATTTCTGAAATTGGCAAGCTAACAGTGGCACCCTAGCTTCAATGGTGCGCACCAGGGAAACAACAACAACGTACCCTCAAGTGGGTCTGGGGAGGTGTAGTGGGTATGCCGCATGCAGCCCTTACCACTAACCTTGGGAGGTAGAGAGTTGTTTCCGATAGACCCTCGGCTCAGGAAAAAACATAAAAAACATCCAAGAAAAAGAAAGCAATATCATCAGATGTGGACCTCTTAACTGATTCCACATTAGTGAAGGATAAAAGAAGCGGAATTGAGGTGACAAAAAAAACATCAAGTATCATCACAGGGTAAAGATGCTGGCGTAAAGACATGAATGCTGTCATACACATCAAAATGACAGTGTATGCCTCAAGTTTCTACTCAAAAGCAAAAGACAGAGAAAATCGCACAAGTCTGTTAAGGTTTTACGCACCAAGCGCAATAAAAGACACAAATACAATAAAAATAACTACAAACCTAAACAACAGGTGTATCAACAGAGGAGTTAAAAAACTCCAATTAAACAAAATATATAAAGTCAAAATCATGCCATCCAAGTTCAAGTATCATCCTGAATTTTTTATTCAAATGTATGTATGCAGTTTAAATTTCCAGCAGGGTTTCTGTTAGATCGAAAAAGATTTTGATGATTGACAAATAGCGGAACAGATGAGTGCGACTAGAATTAGGAGAATGCCAACCACGCGAAGCAGAAGTTATAAGACGGTGGATGGATTGCTTTTACGACAAGAAACCAGTGCATAAAGTTTCCTTTCATAGAGGATTCCTACCTGGAAAGAAATATCAAGGCAAAGCCGCAAACGAAATCCTAAAAGGGAAAGGAATCCTTAGAAGGACCAACTCTGAATCAAAGAAACAATGAGCTTTGTAATCAGTAAAGGAACAGATAGTATGTACCTGTTCTTTAGGCAAATCGGGGGGTCAGTATTCCACAGTTTCAATGATCGTTTTCTCACTAAGTTCAAATTTTGTATTCCTATTACTAACATATTTGTCGCTAAGTTTCTTTAACAATTAATACATCAGCTTGACAAACAGGGGAATATCTATGTAGACTCGAGGGGGTGCCACAGCACCTGGACGTTTCAGTTGAAATTTTGTGTATATATATTTATAAGGAAATGTTTAAATATTAACCATGGCACCCAAAGAAACAATGAGCTTTGTGGTGCCAGTGGTTAAAATTCAAGTTTAACACCTTAGGTACGCAAGTTCGAGCCCTACAGGGTGTATTTTCTTGGAACTTTTTTTATCATGATGACATCCTTTAGCGAAAACCATTGCTCCTATGCAATAGCTCACAAACCAAACAAAATCACAAACCACACCATGCAATAGCTTGCAAACCACACAACATCACAAACGCAAACCACACAAATCACAAACGCAAACCACACAAAATCACAAACTACACAGAAAAGGTAACCCGCACTAGGCAAGCCCGTGCGACGAGCTCGACCCAAAAGGCAAACCTCTTACTTTCACTGGCAACCACACAAAAGAGGTAACAAGCCTGTGCGACAAGCTCGACCCAGAAGGCAAACCCCTTACTTTTGTTGGCAAGGGGTTTCGAACTTGAGACCTCCAACATGGAAGTCCCAAGCCCAAACCACTGGGTCACCCCCAAAGGGTGAGTTCTAGATGCTCCTCTCTGCACCTTATAAAAAGCAAATAATTGGAAACTCAAACAAGGCACAAAACTATCCTCAAAATTCCCTGCAATCTCGACTCTCAAGTATACATGGCTTTTAATTCTCTGACAGGATTATACCAAACACCTAATTAAACATCTACAAATATAGCAGATTTGGAAAAAAATCAGAACTATGGTACATACTTTAATCAAGATCCTCCTGGTTTGCTTGTCCTTGTCCTCGCGGACGTGGATTCGGCTCCCCATGAGTATCACCGCTACCACTACTGTTACCATCATTATTCACTCCATCATTGCTTCCCCCACCTCCAGTACTGTTGCTCGTCTCAGCATGCGATTGCAGCCCCCTTAACAGCCCTGGTAATGAAATCCTAACCCTTCTCTCCACTGTTCTAGGATTACCCTGATTTCCTCCACCTTCTGCACCCAGAGAAAACAAACCAGCATAGCTCTCCACTGTTCTAGGATTCCCCTGATTTCCTCCACCTTCTGCACCCAGAGAAAACAAACCAGCATAGCTCTCCACTGTTCTAGCATTCCCCTGATTTCCTCCACCTTCTGAACCCAGAGAAAACAAACCACCATTGCTATTCACTGTTCCACGATTCCCCTGATTTCCTCCACCTTCTGAACCCAGAGAAAACAGACCAGCATTGCTCTCCACTGTTCTAGCATTCCCCTGATTTTCTCCACCTTCTGAACCCAGAGAAAACAAACCACCATTGCTATCCACTGTTCTACGATTCCCCTGATTTCCTCCACCTTCTGAACCCAGAGAAAACAAACCACCATTGCTATCCACTGTTCTACGATTCCCCTGATTTCCTCCACCTTCTGAACCCAGAGAAAACAAACCACCATTGCTATCCACTGTTCTAGCATTCCCCTGATTTCCTCCACCTTCTGAACCCAGAGAAAACAAACCACCATTGTTGTCATTGTTACTTCTCATATTCTCATAATCAGAATCATCAGTTGGCAACTCAAACCGACATACAGGGCACGAATTACGCATTTCTAACCAAGGTAATATACAGCCGTCATGGTACATATGCTTGCAAGGCATTTGCTTCACCAATTCATCCAGCTTAAAACCATCTTTACAAACAGCACATTGGGATAAATCCGAATTCAACAGCTCATCACTCACCTTAACATCAGGAAGGCCCGAAACAGCCGATTTTGCAGCAGGTGGTGTACCAAGCATGTTCAAGTCACTCTCAGCAAGTTGATGGATCAGCTGCTCGAGATCCGGCCCCACAAAATAGTCACCAAAGTTCTCCGGTAACCCATTCTCACTTCCACCACCGCGGATAAGATTGTTTTCAACCAGCAATTGAATAGTAGCATCACCATCCCTTAAATAGCTATTGATGAACGTAACAGGGTCTAGTTCAACAGGTGATTGGCCGAAAAGGGCTCCACCATCGAAGAGTGCAGGAAGTTCATCGCCGCCTCCGTTACCGGAATCGGTGGGGAAGGAAAACGATGAGTCGTCTCCGAAAGGATTGTCGCCGGTGATAGGATCTGGAGGAGGGACGGTTTGGGATTCTTCTAAAAATGTACCATTGCAATTAGGGCATGAGAGTTCAGAATTTGGCAATGGTGTTAAGCTGACAGTGCTCTGACATCCGTAGCAGTAGTAATTCTGAGGTGAATTTCCGGCCATTTCTCCGCCGCCAGAGTTTCCGGCCGACGACATTAGATATATAGAAGAGAATTATGAGTTCTATGTGTAGTTTTTATAGAGAAAAGTATGAGAAAGACACAGAAGAATTTATCTGACACATTTTTTTAATGTCAGAATTTTATAACCTAAAGCCCTGTCTGGACATTATTAATGAAATCAAAATGATTTGACTCTAATTAAGATTTTTTAAGCTATATATGAAAATTAAAGGGGGTCGTTTGGTATTCGGTTCGGAATTTTTAAATTTTCAGTAGAACAACATGCTAACGGATAGTTAACAGTAGTATTGAAATACCGAACTTTTGAATAATTCGGTAATATCGTTTTTAAGTTGGCGCCCTCGTCTTTATACGACTTTCTTTCTCTGTGTTCTATCACTCACAGATGGCGTTTCTTCTGCCCTTTTTTTATATGTTGGTGTTCTATATGACCGACATAACACTCGATCTGTTAGATATTACGACTCTTTGAAAACTTTTTCAAAAGCTTTTAGCAAAAAATACAACAACAATTCTCATATTATAAAGTTAATACCTTTGCTCTTATTATTTCTGTTTTTCTATGCGAGCGCACGATATAATAGAAAATTAATTTTTAAAAAAGGTTGTGCTAAGGAGTCAGAAATTAATGTATGCACCCCAAACACAAATGAACAATCAATGTAAATTATAATCGAAGCATATGTGCCTAATCTTTTATGACCAAATACAATGCTATGTAGTAGTAAATACTACTCCCTCCGTCCCTATTTAGTTGTCCATATTTCCTTTTTTAGTTGTCCCTATTTAGTTGTCCATTTTGACAAATCAAGAAAGGACAACAAATTTTTTCCTATTATACCCTTATTTACACTTCTTGAAAATTGTAAAAGTGTATGTTGTTTCCCTCCAATTTATTTCACTTGAATTCAAAGAAGTGGTTGTAATTTTGAAGTGAAAAGTTGTCATAAGGGTAAAATTGTAACTTCACTATGCTAATCATTGTTGCCTTAATCTGTGTGTCATTTCTAAAGTGGACAACTAAAAAGGGACGGAGGGAGTAGTAACTAGGAAATACTATCCATTGTACAAAGTAAATGTATCACTTTGTACCATTGATTAGAATTTCTTTTGTCAACTCTTCTGATATATATATATATGGATTGTTTATATTTAGGCTTTAGTATTTCTCTTTGGACTTGTATTGATAGAGATATTGGTTGATATATGATCTTTATTAGGTAAATAATTCGATATTCGAAAAATATCGAATACCAAAGATATTAATGTCCTGTGCCAAATCTCAACTTGAATATCGTAAGTTTAAAATTTTACTCACGATGCCCTTGACAAGCTAGGAGAGGAAATGAGAATAAGGAGTTTTCGCAAATAGTGGCAGTTTGGTGCATAATTACTATACATAACCATACTAAACATAATACTCCACTCTTTATTAAAAAATAACACACGGTACAGTGTATTGGTGATTTGTCAAGCATGTATCTATAATACATGCATTGTGATTCAGGAGAAAATCACGCAAAAATCTTTTAAAATAACAAAATCCAGTAAAACATCCATATCTTCAGTGCAAAAATAGAAAATGTAATTTGGTTTCTCCTTTCTTCTTCGATTTTCAAACTCTATTGGCAACATGAAGGTTAAAAATCTGTCCAAATCTACCTTTGAAAATATAGTATCAATGAATCTAAATAAATAATGAAATATTGTATCATTATATTAAAGTATATGTATCTTATAAGTATAGAGTGCATCACGGTATGGTGTGTATCACTGTTTCTAGCTTTCTGTTTGTCCAATTTAACATAACATACTTTATTAATGAATTAACTTTAAAAATTTGAATCATTGTTTCTAAGCTTTTTGTTTGTCCAATGTATGACTAAATTAAGAATGAGATATATTATCAATTTATCACTATATTTAGAATGAAATACAGTTAGTTGTTTGTAATGTATAATTTATATTTGTATCGAAATATGGAATATATCACTGTATCTCAACCTGTGTTAAACAAGCTATGTCACTGTATCATTGTGTTCTTTGGTATTTACTCCATCTGGCGTCAACTTAATTCAGTGGTATTAAGCTGTTCCCATCAGAAAAGATATTTTTGATTTTGTTTTGAGGAATTTGATTCAACTTCATTTGTTGAATTCAACAATAAGTTAACAATTAATGTTATATACATACTACATTCATTTTCTTTTTTCCAGAATAGAATATTACAGCTGCACTTGCAGAGCTTGAACCTTACCAGAGCAGCAAGAGAACTTTCAAAAATGGGGCAAACTACCTTCCCAGCCCTAATATGTCATATGAGGCTACAAAAGTTAAATCAGCCAAGTTTTGTTTCCCATCATTAGAGTAAAATCAACCTACTTCATCTTTCTTAGTACTGTTCGGACTTTCCACATTTGTATCACCAATCAAGCTTGTGTCTGTTTTCCTTGAAACTGTTCTACGCGCACGTTTCCTGGAATTCCTGTGTGAAGAGGCAACAGAAGATTGGTTCACCTGTTCAGGCATGTCAGAAGCAGACTTCTGTACTGTAGGGTGATCTCTGTCCCACTTTGCTTTCTTTCTAGACCTCTTGGAACAAGTAGGATCTTGGGGTTTGCCAGCAGAATTACTGGAATGTCTAGACTTAGACTTGACTTGGGAAGAAACCGGCCTAGGTGGATTCGAATTCAAGCACAGAGAACTGGGCTGGTCATCCGTTGCTTTGTCAAACCTAGTAGCATGGTCTTCAGTAACGCTACAGGAATTTCCTTTTGAATTACCATGTGTATTAGGTACATGTTGATCATAAGAGTCGTCCAATGCAACTTTATCCATCTCCTGGCCAAAACAAAGTTATTGAGCAAAATAAAAGTGAGCAGAAAGTTGGTACAAGTCACCGTAAGACTGCGAATTCTGAAGTTTATGCTTGTTTTCTTTTCTTTTTGATGAGAAGATAGAGAATGAAGCTTATGATTGTAACTTAGTGTTGATGCAGTAGTTTCTGGGTGCACAATGTTTCCTAAAGTACTAACAACATACATAACATTATTACTTGCGCACAGATGAAAAACAAAATTATCAAGCTTGTGGAGTAATAAGAAAGGTTGGCACTTTACCACCTAATAATAGAAACACCGGGAAATTCCTGACATTTTTTAGTACAAAGAAAACATGATAGAGAGAATAACTAATTTGGGAAGCAATAACTGGACTGCCTTAATGGAAGTCCTAGAATTTTTTAGCAGAGAGTTATTTTCAAGAGGTACCTCATTTTCATCATTGGTTATCTCCTCAGATTCAAATATCTCCTCTCCTTCTGAGTCCTCCATCTCCTCACACTCAAACTCTACACTTTCTCCTATTTCTTCCTCTGAGTCACTGAGCTCTTCCTGCTCCATCACAATTTCTACAAGAGACTGGTCTTCCAAATCATCAACGCCATTTCCAGTTTCTTCATCGCTGGACAAAATCCTTGCAGTGGCACCTGAATCACTATGCTGGGTGGTTCTATTTGGAGTTCCATTGTTTAGAGGATTTTGATCTCTAGAAGCACTAGTCGGTGACCTTCCCATAAAATGGTCAGCCACCCCTCTGCTTCCAATAGCTTTCTGTTTACTGGACGTGAAACTCAAGTGCATCTCCAAGTCAACCTCATTGCTTTTTCCCATAGGGCTAGAGGGTATAGAACATGCAACATTTGAACTACTATCAACAGCATTCTGAACTTGAGTGCACCATCCTCTTGATGTTTCTGAGGTACAAGAGGGTCGTGTAACAGCAGATGCAACTTCCAAGTCACAATTTGCATCATCAGTTCTTTGCAGAAGCGGATGGAAGTCAAAACCAGATGATATTGAAGTTTTATCCCCGGGATTAGAAGACTTGTCAAGAAAGTTAACAGTATGGGCTGATTGGCGTGGATGATGAAAGAGGCTAAGATTAGGTCGACAGCCTGAAAAGAAATTGAACGAACTGGATGTACTAAAACTAGAGTTAGACTGATTATATGGCAAAGGGCCATCTTCAGGGGCCCGGAAGAGTAAGGGATGCATCCTTAGACCTGACTCATCCTTTTCGTCTGTAACATTCTTATTATCCTTCGACAATCTGGTTTCCTGTAGATTCTGATTACTTATATTGTTCCTCCCAGCACTACTGCTAAATGGTCCATCTTTCACAGAATAATTAGTATATGGCTTTGCAGCATTTGCAGTTTTTGGGACTGCATTGTCTCTCACACCATCACCGGTAGAAGCATCCCCACCAAAAGCCCTCGGATATGTTCCAACATGATAGCTTTTGAAAGCCGACTGAGACATTACTCGAACAGATGGTGGAAGATTAACAGGAGGCAGACCTGGCGCTAATTTAACTAACTGCCCATTGTTAAATTTACGGGCTCCGTTTCCCCGCGAAAAAGACTCAGTTTCTGACGACCTTCAAGTCAGATGATAAGCATACTGAGTCAGCACAATGGAAATGCAGAATGTCTGCAACCTCAAAATAAACATGAACAAAGAAGCAAAAAGAAGAGTAAAAAGATGCAATAGAGTACCTCAGAGAAACAGGGAACTCATTAGAGATATGGGATTTCCAATTTCTAGAACCATTGTTATTCATCTTTTCAGCAACTTGAGAACTCTCCACACCCAATAGCTGGAGTGGAGGAATTTTCTCTGCCGGGTTTGACATAGTATGATTCACTAGGATGCTGGATACAGCAGGCCTCCAATCTGCCAAAAAGGCCTCGTGAACATAAGCTTCCTCATTTCTGTCTGTACAATTATCTGCACCACAATTTTCTTCGATAGCGCTGTCAGCAACATCATCCTGCATTTTTTTTCATGAGCAAACACATGTTTATATATAACTGCACCCAGTGGATGCATTGGAAATTACAGAGCATTGAAGTATAGAACATTCTCAAAAGTGTAGGAACCAATAGAATCCATTCATCAATCATTCAATTAACTCAATTTCAAAAACAAAACAATCACTCAATTAACTCTG